AGTCCATTTTGCTCATGCAGTGATTAGCTTTGGCATCAGTTAGTTGATTTCAGATTAAGAAGATATGCCAAACTTTATTTGAATCATTTAACCTTGGTGGGCTATATTTCTCCTGGGAAAGCTAACACTGCAATATAATTTGAGAGCAGAAAAAACAAAAGTGCTTCCACCTACTTAATCTAATTTAAAAACATTCACAATACCCTTTACTGGTTAAATTTTATATTTTGAGAAAATTTTGTACAGTGTCACTGGAATAGAAAGAAAAGAGCATTTTCAATTACTACCAGGTTAACAGTGATAGCCCCTGTTTGTTAAATGAATACAACAAGGCTTCGGTGCAACTGAGCAATATAATAGGCTGAGAGCATTATGCAATTATCTAGAAATTAAATAGGTACCATTATGGTCAGGAAACTGAAAATGTTTACATTTGACTTCACCTATCTGGATGCAAAGGAGATCTGAACTTTTTCTACTCTTTAAGCAATATTTTATATAACTGCTAAAACCTATGTTTTGCACCAAATGCTGAATCACTTTCCATGGGCATGTAAAGACTGTAATGAATCACAACTGGTAACTAAACTGGGGTCTATCATACACTAGGTGTGGTTGGCACGGAAATAATTTTCAGATGTTTAACATATTTATTAATGCTACTTCTCAGACATTGTTAAATTAGAATAAACCCAAACAATAATGATTAAATCATATATTATTTTGTCATCTCCTTCTACCCCACTAGCTAGTCAGCAGAGAGAATACGAATGAAAATAATTCCATTTCTCCCCACCAATAATGATACTGTGCCTTCTCAGACTAGACTACTCCAGTATATTTTTAAAAAAGCTTTTAAATAAAGTCACAATAATGATTGTTCTCAAAGTTAAAATGTCACTGCTCTTAACTGATTTTAGAACATAAAGCCTAATATGAGTTCTAAAACAGTATCAATATTGTGGTAGCATCTATTTCTGCCATGGGCTTCACACTAGGATCACGTCACAGGCGGTAAACTGTTAGTGTTAAAGCTGTATTAAAGTGTTACGGTTACTGTTAAAGCAGCATTTTCTGCTGGATCTTCCCTCTTTGCATCTGGCCATGTTCTCTACTATAATCTACTGTTAAATAGCACACAGGAGTTGTGTTTAGCTTTGTAGTGAAGGAAGATGATACTATCTAGTCACCTTTCTTCCTGATTCTATTTGCCTCTGATTTTCATGCTTTGGCCCTTTGTTTCTATAGGGAAGGATTCAAATAAGGCTCTGATCAAAAGTGAGATGACGTTGTTCTCATTTTAGACATAAAAGGATGTTGATACGCACTGCAAAACCACTACACAAAATGGTAATATTGTAACTGTGTTTCGATTGTTTTTGACATTTGCTAGATAATACAGCTCTATATTGGTAATCTGATTCTAGAATTTGGTGTGGAATAGCAGAGGGGATGTGGTCAGACAGAGGGAGATGGGCAGGGAAACATACAAACTAAAGTTTTGTGTATTATGCCTGGCTCTGGCCAGTTATGCCATGGCTTTAATTTAAGACGTGACCTATAAAAAGTTGCCTCATGATTAATGTGAGAAGCCCGTCAATAATTTCAGGTGTCTCAGAGTTTGCTGTGTAGTATGACATTTGGCTGGAGTGTTTCAGAGAAATTTGACAAAATGGTGTGAGGCTTCATTTCTTGATCTTCAACCCAGATTATAAACACTTCAGGCCAACTCCCACACTCCCAAACACCTGACTTGAGTGATGTGACGGGAGGACTCACCCCCGCACTCTCGGCCCCCGGAGCCGAGGCCCCGCACCCCGCGCGGATGAGCAGCTGGCGCCGGGAGTCCAGCGCGGCGGCAGAGGGGCCGGGGGAAACCGGCGCGCCCGACGCGCATGCGCAGGGCGGCTGGGGCGATAGCCAGCCGGCGCTAGGACCCCGGGGCGGCCGGGGGGGTGACGGGGGGGCGGGCCCGACGCCGCCGGGGGGAGATCAAA